CATATACAATAAGAAGCAGGGATTTTGTTTTCCTTTCAGTAGCTATGGGTTAATTTTGGAATTATTTTTCCTTGTAAATGATTTCTTTCATCGTTATGTCACTGCAAAAGAAAACCCTCCCCCCTTTTGCACACAAGAAGCCTGAATCTGCCTGCCTACCGTCTTCCTTGACCTTTTGGCCAGATTACTCTACAACTGGTTGCACCAGTTAACAAATTCATCAAGGCCTGGGCTGTGATCCCCACCATGCAGAAGACTCACAATCCCAGAGTCACCGACATACTTAAAGGTAGAGTAAGCCATTATTATCCATGACAGATTTGGTCAAATTCAGAGAACATCTCCTCACAGTCCGCTAGCTGTCCGTTCTGTGTGTGCACAACCTTGGTTCACAGGAAAAGGAAAAAAGAAAAAAGTAAATTGCTAACAACTGGGAGTATTTGTGCAAAGGCAGCCCTATGAATTCCTTCACATTTGTGGAGTAAAGGTCCACCTTATTATTTGCAGCAGATTTTCTTTTTGTGCAGCAGCAGCTTGTAGAGCAAAACAGCATCCCTCTCCTCCTTGTCTCCAAGGAGGGAAATTCAAAGTGACAAGCAGCTTTCAACACCACAAACACAGACCAAGACTCCCATCTTGTGCTCTCAATGCAGCAACCGCGGCAGCAGCAGCAGCAGCAGCAGCTGGCCGTGCCTGCTCGGTCTGACACTCATTTGTGTCTAAAAGAAATTAAAGTGGTGAAAACATGCATCAATGAGGGGATTCAGATTAAAAGCATAGTTGACAGTTTTCCATTAACCTAAAGCCCTCTTAGATCAGTTTGTTCAGAAGTCAAGAGAACCTTTGTGCAAGAACATGTGGCCGGATGCAATTAAACGCAGAAAAAAAGTCAACAAAAAGCAAATGTTCATGGTTCTTATTTGCTAAATTCAACCGGATACGTGTAGCATCCTTTGGTTTCCAATATGCCCTGTTGAACAACTGTGAGGTGTCCAGTGCGTGATATGGACCGCCTGTAAAACTTCAGATGGAGCAGCGTTCAAACGTTTTCTCAATAAGGGCGTATGGACCACAGGGTGATAATCACTCAGTGCCTTCAGAGATTTAACATTTGCTTATGGCACCACAACAGGTTTTTTGCACATGCTGGGAATTTTCTGTTGCTTGAAGGAGAGCTGAGGAATACATGAAAACAATACGTTTGTCGAGCACAACACTAAAATTATTTCCCCCTTGTGCCGCGCCGTCACGAACGAGGCTTTAGATTTACTTAAAGCCTGCAACCACATTTCTAAAATTTGAAAGCACAGACATCAATCCTACAGAAAAATTTGCTTCACTCTCCTGCCAATTCAGCTTGTCATTATAAAATACTCTCTTGTACTTGTTTTGAATCCCAACCTGGGACTTGATTCTTTTCCAAGCCAACCTTGAATAGCCTTTGTTCAGCTCACACACTCCTTTTCTTTTATACCTGATTAAAGCTGGTGTGCCACTGTCTTTTCATTAGCATCTCCCATCTAAAGCCAGGGCTTGTTATTGAGTAAAACTGTTTTGCGAGGAACTGAGATGTAACCCGAGGCAGTGTTTGTAAAATCAAAATAAGAGTCTTAAATTAGATCTCAAACACTACTTTGCTCAGTTTTCACTCATTCAGGGCCGATTGAGAAATGAGAACCAAATGAGCAGTGCTGTGGTCTGATAAACCCAGAGGAGGCCTCATGTATGATTTACTATAAGCTTCCTAGTATTGCATGGCCAGTCCATTCTGAACTTCAGAACTAACTGTCTGGCTGCACCTCACAAAAAAACCGAAACAACAACGCTCTGGCACGCTTGTGTTTTTTTTAAATCAATCACAGCGAAGGATGTCGATGCAAACCATCTGCAGAACTGAATCTGCAGCGGAACAGGTTGCTGCCTGGATGTTGTTGTTTCCTGTTGGGAAGGAGATTTAGAAAACGGCAACACGTTGGTAGGAGAAAGCGACGGTGCCATAACCCTGGTCTAATACTTCACCCATCTTTTTGTAAAGGTGCTGGAATAAAAGTGATTCATAGTCATACAATCCCTATAAAATGTTTCCCCTGCTGGAAGATTTCCCCTTTTATTTCCTCCTAAATTTAGGGTTTTGTCAATGAAAAGCAAATGCTCATGGTTCTTATTTCCTAGATTTCAGAGGACAACAGTACCATCATTCTTCCGTTTTATCTTTGCCCTGTAGAAAAACCGTAAGGGGGGCTAACCCTGACCTTACATCCTGGAAGTTTTCTCCTATAATTGCTTTTAAACATGGAATCCTGGTCAATATAATTTGCTGTTTGTTGAATAAAATTTACAAAAAAAACAACTCTTTCAAGTCAAAGTGAAAACATATTTATACAAAGCAATGCCAATTTAATAATAAAAAAAACTGTAAAGTTAAACGAGTGATTACATAAGTATTCCCATCTTTTCAAGCCAGTGAATGCACCTTTGGTCATAGTTACGGCACTGAGCCTGAAAGAAATTCTACACACAGTCCATGACATGTGTTGGACACCTTACAGTTAAACCTGGGAGACAGTTACTGCATGCACCACCTCAGTCGCTGAAGCTTGGAGCTCATTCAGAGGACTCATAGGTGTCTTGGTGGATCTTCCTCACTACTCTCCTTCTCAGTTTTCACAGTTGTTGTGAAGAACAGTGCTCCATCCTTCCACTAGACCTCCACACACTTGTAGGAAATATATCTGTAGTAGAAATGACCTTTTCGTACAACTGGAGCAAGATAGAGATAAGTGATGTCCAGCGCTGTTAGTAACAATGGAGACTATTCTCACCTTGTCCCACGCCCGGCCATGAATACAATTACACAACACTTTACAGGCAAGACAACAGTGTATTTGTGCATTACACAGTCAGCAGCATGACAGCATTAGATGATGGATTGACCTTGGTTTGGATGAGGAGTGAGGTGATGCTGCAGCTACATTACAACAAAGACAGCAAAACAGAACAATAAACTCAAAATACAAGAACACACAAGCGACAGTTTAAACAGTGCATACTTCCAGTCAGTGATAACATACGCGACAGTTCAGATACATTCCTGCAAGTTGAGCCACATATTGTAGTTCCAGTGAAACGCTAAGTACCATTTTTTCAAACTGAATCATCATTAAGAATTAACTTTGGGTAGCAATGTAGAGAACAGGACATGACTTGCCTTGATCCTAAACACTCAGGCTGAAAGGAGTGTCTGCACCCTCACAGTTATTTTTTTTTAATCTACTCACACATACATAAATATTATACGCCTGTGTGAGATTGAACAAGAAGGTGGTAATTCTGTTCTGCAAACTGAGTCAACAAGAGTCTTTCAGTTGCTTTTTTTTTTTTCCCACTCGGCCTCTGAGCTTCAAAGAATCGGCGAGGAAAACTTGGCCAAGAGGCAGAAAGAGGTGAAGAGACAAAGCAGAGGGAGGGAAGCAGAGATACAGTTGCAACGGGTCACTGGACATAAGCCTATCAGATTATTGGGAACATTCCTCTCACACACAACTCAAGGACCGGCTGGCTAGAAAACAGTCACATCCTTCAGGCTTTTTAGTTTCTCTGCATTTTCATTAAATTGCTTAACAAGTTTCAGTGCTGTCGTTAAACACGACACCATGTAAGGGGCAGATCTCTGTATGCTGCCTTTTCCTATCAGTGGAAAGTTTTGTTAATGCTAGATTGAGTCTCCAGGAAGTCAATAAAAGTCTGAGTGACATCCTCTGAAATCAGCGCCTGTGTTTTGTGTGTGGGATGGAATGTGTACCTTTCACCTGGAGAGAAACGGAGCATTAGGAACAGTTAACATGAATGTTGTGGAGCTTTCATGTTTGTGGAACAGAATTTGTGAACATCAGCATGGGACACCCTGAAATTGTTTCTGGCAGGAATCATAAGGCAGTGAGCTCCAAGCCTTTTATCTAGAATTATTGGCACTTCAGTTGATGATAATTATACCTTGTATAAAGTCTATTGAAGAGTAATGGCCTTGTAATAGATGATAAAGAACAAATGAGGGCCAGATTTGAGTAAATAGTCACGCCAGTATTCTATTTTAAGTCCTCCCATTTAGTATTTAAAGGCAGTACATAAACATTTAGATGTTTATAACCAACTACAATGTAGCTGTAAGAAGATATGCGTCAGGAATATGTCTCGTTCACAAATACTGTACATTAATGATTTAAAATCATTCAACTAACATTTATTAAATGTTTGTATACAGCTTGAAATAAAGTGTTCTTTGCACTGTCAGCAGAAGAAGAGCCTTAAGGAACCCTTTGGGCCACTGTGTAGGAACTCAAAAATCTGTTTTATGGGTTTTTGGGTTCCACTTTGAACTTTTTATAATTTCAAAACTTCAAACATTAAAAAAATATACAACAAAAAAACAGAAACTTCCTTTACATTCAGGCAAATATGGACTCAGCAGATATTATTATTGTTATTATATTAGATAAATGCTGAAATATTACAATCTGCACAATTGCAGTAAAACCAAGTTCTTAAAGTAAAATAAATACAACAAAGTGTATGTGTTGGTATAAAGTGTCATTTAGGCCTTCAGGAACCCATTTGGTGGTATTAAATGTTCCTCAGCTGACCTTATCTCTGAATTAAAGGTCTTTTCAGAAACTCCACAAGCATGCAGGGTTTCTTAAATATATATGAGTCCCTTGAGGCCCTCCTAATTCTAAGAGAGTAGTTACCTGTCCAAGAAGCTGGACATAAATCACCCTATCAGTTCCTTTGAACTGCACTGTTGTTACCTTATTACTTAATTATTGTTCTTTCCTTTTACTTCCTTTCTATATTTCTTGGATGCTGCTGTGGCATGTAAATAAATTCAATAAAAAAATATATTCTCTCTCTATATATATTTTCTATATTCTATTGCAAGTTAGGCAAAAAAAAAACAAAAAAAAACTCAAAATTAGCTCTTGCTACCTGCTTCTTCTTTTTTTCTTTAAGCTGTATGCTCCTGCATTCTATTGGATATTTCTTTTAGATGTGTGTGTCGTCGTGTGCATCTTCAAGTACACATACATGCAGGCTTGACCACATCCAACACAGAACTGCATTCTGACTTGCAATTCTGGTTTGAACAATGTAACATCTGTAGTTAATGATGAGATAAAGCTATAATTATATCAATTTTCAAAATGCAGAAACAACATTTTTGTGTCCATGTGGTTTGTGAGGGTGTATTTGGACACAAAACACCTCCAGGTAGTCTTCTACAAGTTTGAACAGAAGCAAAAACACTAAGTTTGCACAAAGGTAGACACAGACATGTTGGTACACATGCACACGTAGCCTGTAACAGACATGTGCACCACAGTAGACAGCACTTGAAGTACAGTAGACATGTGAGGCCAGAAGTGAACGTTCTTCACAACCAAAAGTGTAAAATTACCTCTAGCTTCTTTAAAACAAAAACATCTTGTATACACATGGAAAGCATTTCTTCTGTAGAAAAACAAAAAGTAGTCAATCGAGGTCTCGTAACTTTTTTCCAGTCTCTGAAGCGTTTTTGCAGCTGTACAGCCACTTGATAATCCGTGCATTGCGCTCAATAACTGAGGTACGCTGGCGTATCTTTTGCCGTAAATCATCCTCCAGTAGCCCGATGCTGTCACCGCTGTTCCTGGAGAAGCCATCATCCGACGTGGACACGCTGGCACTCCGAATGTTTATTGCAATTTCATCCGATCGGGCAGAGAAGTTCTCCCTCCCCAAAGACTCGATGACCTCCCCGCCCAGCCCACAGTACTTGAAAAAAGAGTCAAAGTCTGCAAAGTTTTTGGAGTACCTGGAGCTGATGTCAGAGTGAGAACGACTGACACCTTTGCCGGGCCTCCTTTCGATCTCGGGAACTTTGAGGAGGCCACTGGATGGATTAGCTGTCGGCTTCATCCCAGAACCACTGCTCTTGGTGCTTCCATTCCACCTCCTCTCCGACTGAGGGGCAGCTACACTTGAGCTGCATTCCTTTGCTGCTCCCTCAGGTGTGGGTTTTTGTTCCCCGTTGCCCTGAGACTCGCATTCTGTATCCGTGGCCTCAGTTAGCGGAGCATTTTTATTCACAGAGTTAAGCAGCAGTTTACGAGTTATGTGGTGTTTACGATCGTTCGCTGACCCTCTCAGTAGCTCACACTTCTGTCTGTAAAGTAAAAGTGAGTCTGGACGTTTTTTGGAGCTGGAGCGCCGTGCCTGCCCCGGTGAGCACGTTTGTGCAGCACCTGTATGCTCTGTTGAGTTGCTCACTGTGGCAAGAGCCGAGCTTTGGTTAGAAAACCCAGCGCTACTCACAGAAGCAGATCCGAGACTGATGGCCGGCTCCTGGCTTGTGTTGACCACCTGTTGGCTTTTGACGTATTTGGGTTTGCTGGCGGCGAGCCTCTCCACAGCACTCAAGCGTCCTTTCGTCTCACTCTCCAGTTCCATTTGCTTTCGAAGGTATTCGGGACCCTTCTCCAGGATTTTTGTCGTATCACTAGTCGCCTCCATTTGAATAAACATTCGAATCCTTTATCTCCAAATGGCTGGTAGTCCTTCAGTGTACAGTCTGTGAAGAGTTAGAGGTACAGAGATTCCATTCAAGCCCGCTCTTTGCCTGAGCACGTATCACAACAAGAGACTTCACCTTGTCTGTTCACACACATCACATCACCCCACCCATTCTGCGCAAGGCTAGTTTTAACCAAACACAAGCCTGTTCAAAGTACACCTGATACTATCACAAGTGAGAGCAGTGAAAGCCGAGACTGCTGCAGACTTTTTTTTTTTCTCCCCCTCTTGTTTTGCTAGAAATGTAGGTCTTTAATCTTGTTGCTCAAAACCAGACCGTTTCACATTATCTCCTTCTAGGAAAATTGGTTTCAGGACTTTACCAAGTACCCACTGTTAGCTTTTATTGAAGCATTCACCAATTAAACTGACTCATCAAATAGGCTTGTTGCTCATTAAGGTGAAAATGTTGTGCAATTAAAGGTTTACCCCCTACCTATTCACCCTTCAGTTATGCACAGCGTGTGGGATGTGTCAGACTGGGGTTGTAGAAGACGGGCAGTTGCTTTTGGTGTAAAGCATATTTACAACGGCATTGTGCAATTCTAAACACAGAGATGTTTAATGGGCTTTTATGTTTAGTTTTGTGTGCAGTCACTTCCTGGAGGAGTCTACCGATGCTGAAAAGTTGTTGAAGGTGTTGGTCAGAGTGGTTTGATTACACATGAAATCAGTGCTCACACCTTGTCAGACAAAGTGACCTTGTATCAGTAACACTATTAATTGGATCAAGGCAACGTTGAAACACCGCCCTGACAGGAACCTCTGACCTGCTCGTTTAAATAACTCCATAAAAACTAAGGGCGGAAAAGTAAAAGAAATATGTTAAATAAAGGGCTGAACTGTAGAAAACTAACCAAATAAAAACACGTTAATGTGCAATTTTGCTGTCTAAGTATTTATGACATGTCTGCACCGCATTTAACGACCCCGCATGTGTCCGGTCAATTATGAAAGGCCTTTTTCTGAACATGTGCTTTAATCTGGCGTTCAGTTAATCATTTGTCTACACTTACAAGACCTATGACTCCCACCTGTGACGCTCTCCCTCCAGCACTCCACTCTTTCCCACGTCTCTGCTCACCTGCATCCACTTCCCCAGTCAATAACAAGAAGTCGTAATGAGAAGGTACAGACTGAAGCTGAAGTGCAGTGTCGCAGTGTGTTGGAGTTTCAGTTGAGTGTGTGTGCATACATTTATATGTTATATACATATTTACATTCATCCAGGGTGCTCTTGCTGTTTTAGGTAAGATGCTATGATTTGAATTTAAATCTCAAGTCAGGGTTCACAGTCTTGACAGCGTGAAGAAGGAAACTCTTGTCGAGTCTTCCTTGTGTTTGCCTTGATGTTACACCGGCCAGAGCAAAGCCACTCCAACAGTCCGTCGCCCAGTTGGTGGGGGTTTTCCATGATCCTCTTTGCCCTGACCACACTCTACTGACCTCACATCCTCTGCAGGGCAGTTGTCTGCCACAACTCCAGTGTAAGAAGTCCTCACTAAATGTCCAGACTAAATGTTCTCAACTGTCCAAGGTGATGGAGATGCTGCCTCGCCTTCTTTCCCTTCCGACCATGACAGATCCGTAGAGATGTGCACTCACAGGTACTCGAAGCTGCACACCCTCTCAGACTTGACCCGTTAATACTGGCTTCGCCCAAAGTTCTTACACCAGCGGTTCACATCTAATCTTGTGCCAAGTTGTCTTTGTGGTCTCTGTTTCAACACTTAGCTTCCTTCCTTCATCTGTTTGTCCTCAGGGCCTATTGTTGTTCCCTGGACTCTCCTGCTCCCTCTGCTTTGTCTACCTGCCTGTTCTCTTGGGAGCTTGTAAGAAAATATCTATTTTTTAATTTGAATAATTTTTGATCATACATTAGTTGTTCTGTGCTGTGCTTTTGTGTCTTTCATCCTGACCTGAAACACGACATGTCATGGTGTTCTGTACAACAACCGTCTTCCAAATCATTGAAATGAGCTAAATAATAAATAAATGAGCATTAAAAATGTGAGTAGATGTTAAAAAAAAAAAGATCCATGCCAGTTTGAATATTATTTTTTCATTCATGGTGAACCAAAATGAAAACTTTGTGGGAGCAGCTTCTCGACCGGCTCAGCAGTCGGTTCATTCAGTGCTGCTGCTGACTGAACCAAACTGAACCAAAGTGACGGAGCGATCAGTCAGGCGCCATGCATAGAGCGCTCTTTATGGGTTTAAAAGAGTGTTATGGCTTCATCTTGCACGTGTTTTGACACTTTCCCGACCCAAGCTGAACACTGGCACAGCAACACTTAGAAACCTTCCTGGCTTATGAAAACTGGAAGATCAAGATTTGAATGCAGCGTATGAAAATCAATAAAAACAATCGATTAATCCCATTGCAAAAATTTAGATGGTAACGAGTGGCTCCCTGTTTTCTCCTTCCTCATCTAACTGGAAACATTCACTGTAGGTAGATATGAAACATGTGTCCACAAACTGAATCTGAAATATGCCAGATCACCAGGTTTACTTGTTCAGAAGGCAGAGGGCAGCACTGGAGCGGTTCGTGTGGAAGCCATTAGAATAAAGCCTCCCTACCGCACTGTATCAGATTAAAATGCTCATTTTCATACTTTCCTTTAACAGCAAACACATGTCGCATCTCTTATTGAATTTGTTTAACATCAAAAAGAAGACATTGTCATTACCTCTCTGCATGTAAAGTTAACTGAAACCAAAGGTCTCAATCAAATCATTTAAACCGACTCTTATTTTTCAGTGTTTGCACATAATCATCGTACCACATCTGTTTTTCGTGTTGATTACGTTTTTTCAGCCACATGATTTCTTTTGATTGGCTTCCCAGCAGTTCTTACTTAAACTTTATCCCGTTCTTGGCCCCAGTTTAATCATGTCTCCCCAAGATAAATTCAGAGAAGTCCAGAAGTATGCACAATGTGCCATTATGATTGATGATATTTTCCAGGAATGATAAGGGTGAAAGGTAATTGATATGAAAGGATTATGAGGAATATGAGGCGGACATGTTTGTTGTTGAAAAAGCGCAAATGGAAAAAAAATTCTCCTTCTTATATTTTTATGTTTGTATATGAATGCCCACTGGCATGCAGTCCCCACCTCTAACTATAAAAACACTATAATAAATATGTTTTTTAATCAAAAGTGGATCAAATGACTAACGGTTTCTGCAGTTCTAGGAAATAAGCATCAAAGGCAAGTGTATGTTTGCCACCACATCGACCAGGAGACAAAAAACAGCCACAAGCAGAGTGAAACAAACATGAATCCAAATGGATGACTTTGTTCCTTAGCGTCTGCTGGATTAGCAAGAGATTAAAACCTCCAGCTTGTGAAAGTAATAGCTAATTGACCATCCAAAGTTTCATCCTAAATTAAACAACGGCTTCTAATCCTAAAACCAGGTCTTCACCTCAGACGACCCCGTTGGGAAACCCTGGTGGCCAGTGGGGCTTTAAGAAGCCAACTGGGAGCCTTTGTTACTTCATTTCTCTCTCCTCGGATTTCCTGTCATCTGTCCATTACTGCCTCTTTAATAATGGCAAAAAGAAATGACTAAAATAAATACTTAAAGCAGTCTTTTGAAGGTTCAGCCAACATGACCACGGGCCAAGATTGGTCTCTGAGACAGATGCATGACAGCACACAGCCCTCCCAGTGTCCTTTGGCTCGAGGTTCGCCGGTGGACACATGACTTCAAAAACTCCTGTGTCACATCATTGTGAAAGACGTGTTAGGGTTGAAACCGAGTGCAGCGGCAGCGTTGACAACCGTTTAGCATCTTTTCCCTGCGATTGACGAAAATCTGTTTCTGACTAATTAGAAAAAATTCAGACTCGGGGAGGGGGGGGTGGGGAGCAGAGTAAACACCATTAGTCACTTCTCCCTCGGGCCCCATCACTTTTATGTAATTCTAAACTTACACCGCCGGTGGAAAACACATATTCTACTCTTTAATGTGACAACATATCATCTGCTAATTGTGTTTTTATTGAGTCATTCACAATAATTACCTTCCATGAATGAAACTGGCTGACTCAATTAAAAATGGCTTGCAAATTACGAGATATAATTGCTGCAGCCATCTTTTGCTTGCAGTTATTGTTTGTTATGTAAAGTAACCCCATAATTGGCAATTATGCATGCAGCATTAATTACCAGGAATATAAGGTCACCTCCCACTCAATTAGTCGGTGTCTATTTATCACAGGCTCATCTTACTGTATTTCAGGAAACAACTGTGCTGGGAAGGATTACTGACGGGTTTTTTTCATGTTACATTAAAGGTTTTCATTTCTCTTTTCCTTTTACTTCATCTTATGTATAAGACTTGTAACCAACGAACTAAACTTTTCCTCCAAAGTCGAGTACATTTTATTTGCATTAAAATGTGAAGCATGCTCTAATCCATTCTTCTAAATTAACAATAGATCAAATAAATGCACAAATATCGTTTCATCTGCGAAATATGACTTATTTGGATGTTTATGGGATGCTTAGTGTCAGTTCCAGTTTCACTTGAGGCTTTGGACAGAATTAGTTTAAGCCTCTTTTCGGTTCTGTCCTTTCATCCACCTGCTCAGCTGCTGCTTGTCCACAGCCTCCTCTGTTATGCACATGGGAACTTATAAAAGGCAGATTAGAAACGTGGCCGTTACCTATACATGGCCATGGTTTGGTTTGTAGTTATGAAAACAGCTTACTTACCAAATCAGGTGGTTACTCAAAGGAACATAAATGCAAACTAATGACGTGTGGCTTTAGAAAGTGTGCACTTTTGCTCCTGTAAACACATCAGAGGTCAGCACAAAACTGTACAAGGACCCACATCAAAGCTGTCTAACGTAACCAGACAGCTTCTCGACGCAAAACAGGCCCGAAATAGCCTTTAAATCCTAATATCTCACTTCAATTTA